TAAAGTCATTTAAAAAAAACTGGGGGAAATCGTCCATGTCCCCCCATTACTGTAAAAGCGAGCGGCCCAGTCCTTTCGCATGCTTTTTCATTACTTTTTAACAAGTCAATAAGACTGCACCTTCCGAAACTATCAGATGGCGGGGTTTACCCAATACAAAAAAAGGTGGTGCCCCTACGACAAAAAAAAACTATGGGCCCCCAATACTAACTTCCCCATTGCTATCCAAAATTTTTTGGGAAACTGTGCACAAAAACTGTATTCATTTAAAAGGGCTCAAAACTACTAAACCCTCCCATTTTGGATTCAGGAAAAAAAAGCACTAATGATGCAATCATAAAAAGCTAGTCGCTTTACACAGCAGGGAAAATTAAGGAATATCCACTGGGGAATTTTTTTGACCTAAAAAAAAGCTTTTGACACAGTAAACCATAAAAATCCTACTCCACAAATTTGACCACTACGGATAAGAGGCCGCGCTTCTTTTTTTAAAATCTTACATTACTATAGGTATCATGTCCCCTTTAAAAGAACAGCACCCGCAACAGGGCCACTTGATACGGATTTCCGCGGGAAAAGTGCCTTGGGGCCCCCCTGTCTTCCCATAACATCAATGCCTTCCAAAACATCCCAAACCTGAAACCCATTCTCTTTGCTGATGACACGACTTTGTATCTCCCCCCCCAAAATCTTCCCACCCTCAACCCTTTGTAAATGGGAGTGATTAAAAATCGTTTGGATGACACCCAAATAATTTTACGTTTAACACTGCAAAACTTACTTTTTTATTTTTTGGTAGCAGAGCAGGATGCACAAATTAACATTAAAAAAATTTACAACATCAATTACCGAAATAAGGGGGAAAATTCCCGGGTTTCCTTGACAACAACCTGAAATTTTAGCACCCATATCCAAATAGCCAAAAAGTATCCAAAAACGGTTGGGGTCCTCTCCAGTACGATATATGTGCCGCAAAAAGCCTTCTCTCCCTATCCCCCTCCTTATTTATCCAAACCTCACCCACGCATTTTTGCTTGGGGATTTAAATGCAGCAACCCCTAAAGCCAATAATAACCCCAAAAAAAAGCTCATAAGAATAATCCTAAAACCCCTCCTGGCAGCACACCCCCCCACTCTTAAAGGATCTAAATTTTCTCCCCTTTTAGTACATCCACCTTACTACTGTGCAATCAAATTTTACAGGGCCTTAAAAAATCTAAATCAACTTTCCCAAAACGCTTTCTTGATGTTTTGACAGAACCCACAGGGATAAACCAGAAACAAACATCTCTACGCATTCCCCCTGTCCCCTAAACCTTTACAAAAATTCAATGTATGTCAAAGGCCCTAAAATTTGGGTACCCTCCTGAAACTCTAGAATGGACACCTTCATCACCCTTTAAAACTACCCTTTGAAACCTTTTTTCTCCCTGATACACCCCGTCAACTAAACCAATTTACCCCCCTGGGGTCACACTTACACTCGCTCACTCATTTTGACCATAAACAGAAAACGAAATTTTAAACTCGTCTTAAATAAAAGAATCCTGGATACTCCAAAAACTGAAAAATATATTCTGTGCCAAACAAAACATTTACATTTCTAAAATCACAAACTAGTATTTTTTCACTTCCATAAAACCAACTTACTCATAATTTTTTAATATTTTACATTAAAAAAAAACTAATATGCCCCAAATGCCTAGCATGTAAGCGTTCTAGGGTACACTCTGTAAACACAATTTTACACATGTAAACCAAACACTAAAAAAATTTTGTAAATGCATTTTAATCCTTATAGAGAATAAACTTTGAATTTGAATTTGAATTTGATTTTAAAAAAAAAGTCCTAGTGCAGGTTTGGTAAAGAAAGTGAGGAACCGTAAAAATAATGGAACCTTACTTACGAGTCATCCAGGCGACTTCTTCCAGAAACGGGAGCTGCTTGGTCGATTTTTTTCTTTCGAGCGAGCAAAAATTTTCCCGATGCGTGGCCCAAGGGAGGTTTTTGACATGGTGGGGGGGTCTTCTTTGATCTAGGGAATTGGATTCAGTGTTTGTTGGACTATCTTATTGAAAAATTGGGGAATGTTGATGAAAAGATTTTTTTAACGACACCAAAAAAGAAAGAAATGGACCCTAAATAACAGAGTTCATTCTCAGCCTTAGCCTTTCCCTTAGCGGTATATTTTTTTTGGTTTTTATGGTTGTTTCTCGTTTTATTTGGTCTCATGTGATAGAAGGGAAAATATACTACAAAAATAAAAAAATTTTTTAATTTGGGTTTTACAATGAAAAGTACCTTGAAATTGAGCTCAAAAAAAGCAGAAATGTTAATTCTTTTTGGCGACATCAGTGGGAGCATCATGAGGTAGCAGTGGCGACAACTGAAAAAAAAAACAGTGGCAGACAAATGAAACCCCCAGGGCAGACAACTGAAGAGCAGTGGCAGACAACATGAAGCAGCAGTGGCAGACAACAAACAGCAGGGCAGACAACATGAAGCAAAAAGTGGCAGACAACAGAACACAGTGGCAGACAACTGAAGCAACAGCGGCAGACAACAGAAGCAGCAGGGCAGGAAACATAAGCGCTGCAGACAACATGAAGCAGCAGTGGGCAGACAACATAACAGCAGTGGCAGACAACATGAAGAGCAGTGGCAAAAACATGAAGCGCAGTGGCAAACAACATGAAACAGCAGTGGCAGACAACATGAAGCAGCAGTGGCAGACAACATGAAACGCAGGGCAGACAACAAAGAAAACAGTGGCGACAACATGAAGCAGCATGGCAACCAAAAAAAGAAGCACATGGCAACATCTGGGTAGCAGTGGCAACAACTGAAGCAGCAGTGGCAGACATCGAGGTTCAGTGGCGACAAAAATGAAGCACAGTGGCAAAATGTAGATTTAAAAAGTGTAGCAATTAAGTGTAGCAAAACGCCTTTAATAAAGGTAATGATGTGTAATGTTTATTCATTTGTGCATTTAAATTTTATCTTTTTGGGAAAAAAAAAATTTTTTTTGAACTTTGGGTGCTGGAATGGATTAATTCCATTTACATTTTTTCTTTGGGGAAAATGGTTTTTTGGGTTTTTGGCATTTCGTTTTGGGCCCCTGGCTCCGAAAGATTAAAAAACGAAAACCCAGGATTCACTGACATGCAGGAGTTAATTTAAACCCCCTGCTGTCACAAGCCCCCTTTTTGAATGTCATTCTTTTTCCAAAATTTTTTGGGAAAAAAAAAAAAATTTTTACAAATTTAGGAATCTTTTCCCATGGTAAAGCACCAAAAGTACGAAATTTGGTCGAAAAATTTTCCCGGAATTACACTTCCCCAAAGTTAGTGGTCTCGGGTACATATACACTCAGTGATTTCACCGCTTGAGCCCTGTTTTTTTGGCCCCAAATTTCCCTTTTTTCCAAATTTACCAAACTCATAGTTATTTCTTTAGAAACCCTTTTTTTCATTTTTTCCTTTAATCCCCCTTTGAAAGGTTTGGGGTTTAGAAAAAAAAAAAAAAAAAAAAAAAATTTAAAAAAAAAAAAACCCGCCTTTTTAATTTTTTTTTCTACCCAAAAAAAAAAATTTACTGCAATACAGACTACTTCATTATTGTAAAAATGGTATAAATAATATCAGTGCACTAGTGAAAGAATATTAGACTCCCCAGTTGACGTGTATTGGACGTGTGGTGTGATTTGCTTGCTCTTGAACATTGGTAAAAATCAAACATTTCCGCTACTTAGAGCTCAATTTCAAGGTCGTTTTCATCGTGAAACTAATCAAAACCATCTCTATTTCTGCAATATGTTTTCCATTTTATCACGTAAGACCATGAAAATGAGAATACAACGATAAATACTATATGAAAATACACCTCAAAGTCGGCGGTTTAATCCAAAAAAAAGGTCAGTTTTTTTCTCATTATACACTGCGTGCTGCAGGATTTTTTTTATGTGGTGCACACTGACCACAGAGACCCATTCTCTCACATGTGGGCCTACCAGCTTTCTCCTGCTTGATTTGAAGCCGCTAGAATTATTGAGTATATATACGTCCGAAACACTGGCTCGTAAGACATATACAACCAAAACAGTCAAAGGATTAATATTCTTATATTTATGAGACAGCTCTAAAGGCACAGGCAGTCACACAATGCCTAGATAACAGTACTGAGTAATGAAGTTTGATCAAGGGAGGGTAGCTCCACTTTCTTGGGTTAAAAAAAAATTGAAAGGGCTGCTTTAACAGAGTACAAAAAAAAGAGTACACAATTCAATATAATTTATATGGAAGCTTATATGGAAGCTTATCTATAAACATAAAAATTATGTCTAAGACGACAATACAAGAGTTAGGGAAATTTCATGGTAACAGGAATACCTAAGCATGCTCTATAACCATGGTTTAACCCTTAAACTGTCCAAACAGATCTACATTCACATGCGTAGTGCTCCAAAAGTAGATCTATGTTTTTTTACATATTTTCAAATACAGTATAACAAAAAAAATGTAGATCTAACTTTTTTTACACGTTTTCAAATGTAAAAAAAAAAAAAAGGTCTACATTTTTTTACATACTTTCAAATGTTGAAAAAACGTAGATCTACATTTGGACAGTTTAAGGGTTAAGATCCAGATATATACCAGGAAATTTTAAAACCAAGACAAATGAAGTAACACTGGTATGTATATTGAAGCAAACTGGCAATACCGGTAAATAAGTAGATACACCTAAAATCACAAAAAAACAAAAAGTGTGCATGTTCTTAGATTACAGGAAAAATAAGAAATGACTGTACAACATTTTCCAAGCTCATGTCATAAACAAAAAAATTAAGATAGCCACTTGCTGCTTGGTATGGTAAAGAATTGCTGACAGTTATAAGACTGCATGGAGACTTTTTTTGGCCATGAAAAGTTCTGTGAAAAAGTGAAATACTGTATGTGCAATTAATTCATGTAATGTGTACTACTTTAAAAAAGATACTTACATAATAGTGCTCTTCAATGTTATCTTCCTTCTGAAATCTGATACTTTGAAGTGCTTCACTATGACTTGTCCTAATGTCTGTCCAAGAACTTGATTTTTCTGCAATAACATCAGCTTTTCCTGCTGACACTTTAGCCATGTTATTAATAGGCACATTTATATCATTTAAATCAGGAATCTTTGTTTTTTCCTTTGATTTGTGCTTCAGTGATGTTACCAGGGGCTTTGGTTTCTCTCTATTTAATGAATGATTTGCTACATAATCTTCCAAAGTTTCATGTTCATAGGGTTCTATAATAAACATGCATTTATCTAAATATGAAGAAACAACTGCACTATATCCACATTTCACAGTACAGGATCCATAATATATTACATCCAAGAGACCTCTTAAAGATCTATGATCCATATCAGTTACCAAGATCAAAGAATGGTCAAGCGTCGGCTCTTGAACAACAACATTATGAATTACTGGGGATGCAGCACAGAGAAGAGCTTTGTGTGCTAGTATTCTCTTCTTCTCAACAAGAAATGTAACATCTGCTTTCTCCCCCCCATTATAAAGCTGGCATAGTCTGTTCCAAATACTTTTTGCAGGGGACTTCATGTTTGATTGTAGCTTCAAATATTCATTTTGTGCTGTGTTGTTTTTTACAGATTCCTGTTGGACATAGTTCTTAGTGGCTTCCACGAGAGACTCAACCTCTAGTAATGAGCATAGTTTATAAAAAGCCATAAGATGGCACTCCATCAGAGATGCTTCACCATAATACATATAAGCAATCAGGCCTTGAGCATTTGTTAATCCTATATTAGGCATGTGCATTATTCTAATATTATCATTTTCCTGAAAAGTATCTCTTAGTACTGAACTGCAGGCACTGAGAATAAGTTTGTGAGCTTTGATAACGTGACCATCTACAAGAACTGATACGTCGGTACAAAGCTGGTTAGTACACATGAACTGAAATGTTCTGATTAACCTTTCGAGATATCCTTTCCAACAGACTGTATAAATCTTATTGTTAAAACATGAGTACATAAGTTCTATAAAGTCAAGCTTCAATGCTCTTGCCACAGTCACTATTTGCTCTGACAACTGAGCACCTGATGAAGCTGATCCACAATACATTAGTGATTTCACAGACGAAATTAGTTCTGGTGATGCTTGGAAATCTAGCAGAATGTGATGAATAATTCTTGTATCCTGAAAAAAAAAAATCAGTACAATTTACAAACTATAAATCTCTTACAAAATATTCTACATACCTATCACCAGTTTTTGAGCACATTATCCCTTCAATCCTTTAGTGTGACCCTATTCCCTCTTTCTATAAAATAATCCTTGAAACTAAATGCACCATGAAACTTTTTAAAGCAATTATCTAGTTTTTCATATGTTATTTAACCTCAACAGCCATCTACTGCCAAGGCAGGAAGGCCCAAAGAAGAAAGCACATTCACCATCATTTATCCAACTACTGTCTAGCCAGAATCCCTTCACAAATGTTACTGTGCTCACACTCCAAGAGTGCATCCAGTAAAAACTAATTGTCTTCATTCATTCCTGCTTAACATGCTCACATAAGCCTGTCAAGTGCTCAAACCTCCAAAATTCAAAGCCTCCTTTACCCTCCTACCTTCTACCCCAGATTTATACACCATTCATCATTCGATCCCTCTCCCATCTTCTCTACTTGCCCAAACCATGTCAACCCCTCCTCAGCCCTCTGATTTACATCCTTGGTGACCACACATCACCTTTCAATTTCTACACTACACAGTGCATCTCAACCATGACATCTTCACTGACTCTAGCCTCTTTCTGCCTATGTCACTCAAAACCCATGCCTCACAGCCATGTAAGTGTTGGTACCACTATACTCTGGTGCATTCCTTTTTTGCCTAAAAAGATAAACTTCTTTCATTCCACAGATACCTTAGCACATCACCCACATTTCCCCCCACCCCCATCTATTCTACGGTTTACCTGTCTTTCACAGACCAAACCGGTGATATTGCACTCACTAATACCTAAAAAACATCCACTTCTTCCATACTTCCTACCTCCAATCTGATATCCAATCTACCACTGTCTAGCTGTTTTTGTTACTCGATCGCCTTGCTACTTTCTTTGTTCACTTTTAATTTCCTTCTTTTACATACCTTCTCAAATTCATCCACCAACCTTTGCAACTTGTCTTCTGAAACCCCTAAAAGAACTTTATAATCAGCAAAGAGCAGTTGTGATAGTGGCCTGGTAGGCAAAGCTCTAGCTTCACATGCTGAGAGGTCTTGGTTTGATTCCCTGCAAGGGTGGAGACACTGGGTGTATTTCCCTGTTCACTTATCAGTAAAATAGGTACCTTGGTGTTAGTCAACTGGTGTGGGTTGCATCCTGGAACAAAACTGACCTAATTTGCCCAAAATGCTTTACATAACAAGGTGATTTCTATATAGTAGTATGTCATTAATGTCAGCTGGGTCTGTAAACCTTGTGCATGTACAAGAAATAAAGATATTATTATAACATATTTTAATTCCACACCTAGCATTCCCTTCTTTTTCACCATCCCCCTCGATGCTGGTGAGGGGCTTCGTCCCTTCCTTGAACAGGACCTGAATACTTCCCATTTTCGAGACACTAAATGACCCATACAGGTTTAGCACTTGCCCATAAGTAAAATTGAATACACTCAACAGGTTTATCCCCTGTAATTCTAACATACTTTCATCTCCTTTTTCCTTATGTATAGAAAATATGCACATCCTGCCATCCTTTGGTACCCTCCCTTCTTTTATGCATATACTGAATGAATACACCAACCACTTCAACACTATACCCCACCTGCTTTTATATCTAACTTAAACTATCTATCCCAGCGACCATATTTCATTTCATTCTACTAAATACCTCATACACTTTCCCAACATCCACTTCAAGCTCCTCCTATATGATGTTATCCCTTCCTGCCCAGTGTATGAAATCAATGCTTCCCCATCATTAGTAGTATTCAACAATTCAAAGAAATATCCTCAGCTTTTCAATACCTCCACATCTAACATCTCCCCTCTTTAGTTTTTTATTTCTAAAGACATCTGCTCTCCAGGCTTCCTCACCTTACTGATTTCTCTCTATAACCATTTCTCATTTTCACCACCCACTCTCTCTCACTGGCTTTCTTTTTGCCCTCCCTCACCATTCTTTTAAAATTAATTTTCCTCTACATATACTCTTCCTTTCATCTATTATTTTGACATTGTAAAAGCCTTTTAAATGCTGATTTTTCCCTTTATCACCCTTCACTTCTTCATTCCATTAATCATTCCTCTTCCCACTGTCACCCACCCTCCTATACCCACAAACTTCTGCTGTGCACTCTGGCAACAAATTCTTAAATTTACCTCGTGCCTCCATGACCTCCTCATTTTCTGTACTTTCTCTAGTCCACCATTTCCTAACAACTGCAAAAGCAGTCTCCTTTAAATCATTTACTTTCACTTCCCTCTTGCCCTCTGATTCCAGTCTCTTTGTATTCCATCCACCCTTTACTCTTACTGCAACTACCACTAAATAATGATCTGACATATCTGATGCCCCACTACAAATATTCAAATCCATAAGTCTACCCCCCCCCCTCCTTAATTAAAACTTACTTCAACTCCACATCATCTAGTATTCCTTCAAGAAGTATTTGTAGAGATATTTCCTAGGCAATAACTAACATTCTTTTTCTTCCTTGCAGAACTCAGTGGGAGGCTCATTTACTTTGGTCAATTCTAGAAAAAAAAAATAAGCTTGGATTCTCTCTAATCCCCAACAGGATTGAAAAAGCAAAGTTCCCATTCCTAACACATTCTTTGTGTCAAACATCTTGAGCAGTTCCTCCACTCTCAGGAAAGATTATTCTAATTTTCATTAACATGCCATATCTCACCCATACAAACTAAGACAATAACCCCCCAAAAGCTGTTCTCTAGTCAAGGGTGCACACTCTTCACAAGAGCTTATATTTCATTACCTTGTAGTAGTACAGTGCATTAACACAACATATCCATTTCACCTGGTATTTGCATGTATGAAGATAAGTCCTCCATGAAGAACTAAGAGCTGCCAGCAAGGTAGCATGTACAGTCATTTCCTTCTCCCCAAATTTTATATGAACTTCAGGTTGAGGACCAGCATTGTGATTCATGCCCATGCACTGCATGGCATTCAGTAGATGAGAAGATTGTTCCTCCCAGCGAACCATCAACCATGACTTGCATGAAAGAACACTATCTACCATTGCAGAATTATTTTATCTCGTCTTCCTCTGAGGATATCTGAAATTATCAAAACTTAAGCATATACATACTTTCATTTTATGTCAATGGGAAAACTAACCAAATAAATAAAACAATAAATAACTAAATAAAATAACTAAATAAACATGATAGATAGGAGTGGAGGCAACTGGTTTCTGGGACTTGACAAGCTGTTTAAGTATAAGCAAGGTAACAGTGTGTGAAGGGATTCAGGGAAATTGATTAGCCGGACTTAAGTCCTGGAGAAGTACAGGGCCTGCACCCTAAAGGAGGGGTGGGGATATTTGCAATTTTAAATGTCATCTGAACTGTGGTGTCTACGTGCCTCTGGTAAGACAGTGATAGAGCGAGTGATGATGAAAGTGTTTCTTTCTGAGTCACCCTACCCTGGTGGAAGACAGCCAGTGTGATAAACAAAATGATGAATAAGACATTTGGAACACTTTGGTACCTTTATTCCCTTTAGTCCCGTAGCTCGATCACTAGCGCACTCAGCTCACACAGAGGTCAGGAGTTCGAATCCTTGGTATGGCTGGATAACATTAGGATGGGTTTCCACAAGACACCTGCTGTCCATGTTCACCCACCAGTATAAGATGGGTACCTGGGTGTTAGTTGACTGGTGTGGGTCACATCCTGGGACAAAACTGACCTAATTTGCCTGAAATGCTCTACATAACAAGCAGCTTTCTATTTAGTAGTATGTCATTGATGTCAGCTAGGCCTGTATACCTTGCACATGTACTTGTAGAAATAAAGATATTATTATATTATTACATATAAGCAGTTCACTACCACAAGGCTTCAGTCAAAGCCTATTGTGTTGGTGAACTGCAGAGGTAATTCTGAGGTGTTCAATTTCTCAGTCTTGATAGGTGATCAGTCTCCTTAGTTTGAAAAAAGGCTTGGCTTAGCTTTCACATAAGCAATCTGGCATCATTGGGACCTGTAGTGTGCCAGATTAGTGAGTTTGCCGGATTACAGTGGTTAGGTTAGAATACACTTAATGAACCTATCAACAGAGACTCTTTCTGCTACATCTTCCTCATTTTCATCACTACTTTCTCCTCCACTGGCTTGCTGCTGTGGATTTACAACCATCTGCACAATTTCTGAGTCAGTACAGTGGACCCCCGCATAACGATATTAATCCGTGCATGAGAGCTCATTGTTATGCGAAATTATCGTTATGCGGATGAATTTTCCCCATAAGAAATAATGGAAATCAAATTAATCCGTGCAAGACACCCCAAAGTATGAAAAAAAAATATTTCTACCACATGAAATATTAATTTTAATTCACACAAATGAAAAAGGCATGCACAATTACATGACACTTACCTTTATTGAAGATCTGGTGATGATTAATGGGATGGGAGGAGGAGGAGAGAGTCTTAATGTTTAGAAGGAGAATCCCCTTCCATTATTAAGACTTGAGGTGTTAAGTCCTTTTCTGGGGTTACTTCCCTTCTTCTTTTAATGCCACTAGGACCAGCTTCAGAGTCACTGGACTTCTGTCGCACAACATATCTGTCCATAGTGGCCTGTACCTCTCGTTCCTTTATGACTTCCCTAAAGTGTTTCACAACATTGTCAGTGTAATAGTCACCAGCACGGCTTGCAATAGCTGTGTGAGGGTGATTTTCATCCATAAAGGTTTGCACTTTCAGCCACATTGCACAGATTTCCTTAATCTTTGTAGTAGACAACTTCAATTTCTCTCTCCCGTCCTCCGAACCAGTTTCCTCAGGTCTGGCCTCTTGCTGTTGAAGTTGATCTATCAGCTCATCAGTGGTTAGTTCTTCATTGGCCTCCTCCACCAACTCTTCCACATCATCCCCACTAACCTCCAACCCCAAGGACTTCCCCAATGCCACAATTGATTCCTCAACTGGCATACTCCTCTCAGGGTTAGCCTCAAATCCTTCAAAATCCCTTTTGTCTACACATTCTGGCCACAGTTTCTTCCAAGCAGAGTTCAAGGTCCTCTTAGTCACTCCCTCCCAAGCCTTACCTATAAGGTTAACACAATTGAGGATATTAAAGTGATCTCTCCAAAACTCTCTTAGAGTCAGTTGAGTTTCTGAGGTCACTACAAAGCACCTTTCAAACAGAGCTTTTGTGTACAGTTTTTTGAAGTTTGCAATAACCTGCTGGTCCATGGGCTGCAGGAGAGGAGTGGTATTAGGAGGCAAAAACTTCACCTTAATGAACTTCATGTCTCCATAAAGTCGCTTTGCCACATCTGTAGGATGACCAGGGGCATTGTCTAACACCAGGAGGCACTTAAGGTCTAATTTATTTTCAGTTAGGTAATCTTTCACATTGGGGGCAAATGCATGGTGTAACTAGTCATAGAAAAAGTCCCTAGTGACCCATGCCTTACTGTTTGCCCTCCACAGCACACACAAATTAGCCTTGAGGATATTCATTTGTCTGAACGCTCTGGGAGTTTCTGAGTGATACACTAATAAAGGCTTCACTTTGCAATCACCAGTAGCATTGGAACACATCAACAGAGTATGCCTGTCTTTCATAGGCTTATGTCCTGGGAGTGCCTTTTCCTCCTCAGTAATGTAGGTCCTGCTTGGCATTTTCTTCCAAAACAGGCCTGTTTCATCACAATTAAACACTTGTTCAGGTTTCAGTCCTTCACCTTCTATGTACTCCTTGAATTCCTGCACATATTTTTCAGCTGCTTTGTGGTCCGAACTGGCAGCCTCACCATGCCTTATCACACTATGTATGCCACTATGCTTCTTAAATCTCTCAAACCAACCTTTGTTGGCCTTAAATTCACTCACATCACTAGTTGCAGGCATTTTTTTAATTAAATCCTGATGCAACTTCCTAGCCTTTTCACTTATGATCACTTGAGAGATGCTATCTCCTGCTATCTGTTTTTCATTTATCCACACCAATAAGAGTCTCTCAACATCTTCCATCACTTGCGATCTCTGTTTCGAAAACACAGTTGAACCTTTGGTAAGAACAGCTTCCTTGATTGCCTTCTTGTTGCCCACAATAGTAGCGATGGTTGACTGGGGTTTACTATATAACCTGGCCAGCTCGGAGACATGCACTCCACTGTCATACTTATCAATGATCTCTTTCTTCATCTCTATAGTAATTCTCACCCTTATTCCTGTAGGGTTGGCACTAGAAGCTTTCTTGGGGCCCATGGTCACTTATTTTGCAGATAAAATCACCAAAAACACTGTAATAATACGAAATATTCCGATTGTATGCTTGGATGTTACCGCGGAGGCTGGCTGGTAAACAATGCCACCGGCGGAACATGTGAGGGTGGCTAAGGCCGCACATCAGACACGTCTCAGACGAGCAGCGTTGAGCGGGTTTTTTAGCGGTATGCAAGGCAAAATCTTAGCGATAAAACGTATCGGTATGCGGATTTAACGTTATGTAAGGCCAACGGTATGCGGGGGTCCACTGTATAATGATTTGAGTCGGTATAATGATGTAATTTGAAATTATGGTACCTGAAATTAGTGCCGGATTATTGATGGAACCGGATACTGATTGCCGGATTAGTGATGGCTGACCTGTAAAGGCGTATCAAAAGAGGGGATGGACAGTTAAGAAATCAATATATTCAGTTAAAGAGAGAAATAAACAAAGGAGATTAAGAAAAGCTAAGAGAGATTATGAGGCTAAAGTGAACAAGATAGGCCCACTTAACAGTAACTCAGGTCAGATCACTGACAGTGATAAGGAAATGTGTGAAATTTTTAACTCTTATTTCCTCTCTGTTTTCACGCAGAAAGATACTAGCAAAATTCCAGAAATTAAAAACTGTGTAGAGCAGGATGATAATAAACTATGCACGATTAGAGTAACTAGTGACATGGTCCACAGACAAATAGAGAAATTAAAACTGAACAAATCCCCAGGCCCTGATGAACTGTTTTGCAAGAGTTTTAAAGGAATGCAAAGTGGAGCTTAGCAAACCTTTGGCTAGTCTTTTCAACATATCACTACAAACTGGTATAGTGCCAGACAAGTAGAAAATGGAAAATGTAATACCTATTTACGAAGCAGGTGACAGGTCCTTACCTTCAAACTATAGACCAACAAGCCTTACCTCCATAGTAGGAAAATTTATGGAATCAATAATTGCTAAGGCAATTTCTAGCCATCTTGAAAGGCATAAATTGATTAATGAATCTCAGCACAGCTTTACAAAGGGTGTTCGTGCCTTACGAATTTATTAACTTTTTTCACCAAGGTATCTGAGGTAGATTATGGTAATGAATACGATATTGTGAACATGGACTTCAGTAAAGCTTTAGATAGAGTTCCACATCAGAGGCTACTGAGGAAAATTAAGGCACACAGAATAGGAGGAGAATTTTTCTCTGGGTAGAGGCATGGGTGACAGATAAGCAGCAATGAGTTTGCTTCAATGGGGAGAAATCAGAGTGGGGGCACAATACGAGCAGTGTTCCATAGGAGTCAGTGCTGGGCCCTTTGCTGTTCACAATTTATATAAACACTGATGAAGTAATAAGTAACAACATAGCAAGTTTGCTAATGACACCAAAATAGGTCGCCTATTTCATTCTAATGAAGACATTAAAGTACTCCAGGAATATTTGATGAGAATAATGCAGTGGTCAGAGAAATGGCAGATGCAGTTTGTATAGGCAAATGCAAAGTTCTAAACACTCAACAAGAAAATATCCATGCCACACATAAACCAAATAACGTAAATCTTAATATTACTGACTGCAAAAAGGATTTGGAAGTTCTGGTTAGCAGTAATCTAAAACCAAGACAACAGTTTACCTGGAGTTTACCTGTAGAGTTCCAGGGGTCAATGCCCCAGTGGCCCGGTCTGTGACCAGGCCTTCTGGTGGATCAAAGCCTGATCAACCAGGCTGTTACTGCTGGCTGCACACAATCCAACGTACTAGCCACAGCCCGGGTGGTCAGGTACCGACTTTAGGTGCTTGTCCAGTGCCTGCTTGAAGACAGCCAGGGGTCTATTGGTAATCCCC